CAGCAATGACAAGGTGAGAAAAGGTTTTATGACCATAACGGGCTTCCATAGACTGTATTTCAATCAAAGTCTATTTTGTGACATTTATTAAACGTTGTTACAATTCAGCACACCTCAAGCACGAAATTTAGCTGATTTGTAAACATAAAACTATAATTTAACATCATCAGGCTACTTAAAATCACTGTTATAAATTGTTAAGATTAACAAACCTCAAGATCAAAAGACGCGCGAATTTTCCGCAGACGATGACAACGGATATGTCGATGGAGAATTTTATTACTGAATAGGAAAGCTTAAATTACAGACGGGAATGATTTATCAATGTAAAATATAGGAATAGTTTCGATGAGTAGGGACAAATTGGCTGCAAAAAATTTATGTAATAAAACTAGTGGTTCTATTGTAATTTATTAGATATATTAACTTGGAATGATTTTTAATTCGTTATTCCCACCTCGAATAAGATCTCTACTCAACAATATGGTTCTTGGATAGTAATTTGTCTCTTAAATTGTTTTATTAATTTATAATGATATTTTTTTTCATATATTTTAAAAACTAGAATAGGTTTGAACTAAATTACGTATTTATATTTTGTACCCCGACTACATTACAATTTACGAATGAAAAACAAATAGTTGTAACATGAGACTTCCCTTCATATAAATTTATAAATATCAAAACGCACTGTGACTGTTCATAACGGGGAGGTGGCTGTTCTTTTATTTTGTTTTAGGGGGTGTATAGTTCTTTTATTTATTACAAGTTTAGGGGAAAAAAATGGTACAATTTTATCACAAGTATCTTTAAGTAGATTTTGTTGCACCCATAAACCTGTAAATTTTCATGTTTCTAATTACATATTTATTTTAACTACAGTTGAAACACGAAAACTCTGTAGACATATGTTGTCTTTTTTTTTTTTTATTTTCTTGGTTTTATTTACTTTTAATCAAACTTAGAACATAGTGAGAATTTATAGTTGACTAGGACAACTTGCAGCAGTCTTTTATTTGCGCAGCAGATTTTGCTGTCATGCACTTTCGGTAAAATAAAACCCACTTTTTTTTTAGAATTAAAGAATTCAATAATGAGTTGAAAATTAAAATAATTTTGTATTGCCCTTTATTTATTTAAATCCAAAGAAATCTACCGTGCATGACATTGTCTTTTGTTGTTTAAATTAGTATATGACACCAAATTTTAAAACAAATCTTTGATTCGTTTCACATATTATAGGAAGAATCACCTTTTCCGGTTTTGATACTAGTAAAATAAGTTATATAACGGATCACTGCTCTTTGGCAAGTCTGTAGATACAATAAATAATTTGGACAGCTACGAAAAAATGACATAACCAAAATGAAAGGCTAACTTCAAATACACTTGTCTAGCGGAAAAATGCCATAGGAACATTTCAAGGATGTAATTCATACGTATATATATTAATATATAATATACATGTATTTATATATTTATATGTTTAAACTACTTTATGATCAAAAAGTGGCCTTTTGACCAATTTATTATTAAACCTCCAGAAATGAAAAGATTTGTAAAGTAGGGTTTGCGTTCTGCAAAATTGTTAATTTTACTTACTCTTTGTGACTTATCTTTTAATGATATCCACAAAAAGGCGTTTCGAAATGTCGTTGAAAATAAAATATGGTTGTTTGCGGCAAAAGTGCACCTATACATTGGATGCTGCAGAAAAACAAGAGCATATTGCGCAAACTTAAGACTGATTTTACAAAATATCCCCCTAATACCTTTAAAAGGATTGTTGCTTGATACACATTATGTTTGGGATTCTCATCTTTTCATTCATGATTAATATTTCATTTTTGTGCGAAAATTACAGTTTTTGGATTAACGTTTTATGTTTACCACACGTAGCTCTCCACTTAAACGATTCAAGCTAATTTTAAACGGATTTTATATTAGGTTCAAACGACTTTTAAGATTGGAACTCAAAGATAAGGTAACGAATGAGATATATGAGTATTTCTCTGAAAGGCTGTAAATATCTTTTTAGTTTTTGTGTTGCCAGGTTGCTGTCTCGTTGACGTATACCCCAAATCTTTTTTTCTCTTTACAAATAGTAAGTGATTAAAATGTTCAGCTGTTTTTAAAGAGTTACCTTCGTATATGTTCTGTAACCATGGTAACCCCTGAAGTCACATTCTGGTTGAAATATACATTTCAATAAATACATTTCCGAAATTATAAGTTACTTTTTTTTTTAAATATCTTGAATATCTTTAAAACAATAATCTTACATAGGTATTTCTATCCACCCAAATTACCCCGACTATGAAATGATGATACGAAAATCCGATAGATCAAAACATGCGCTATCTCTTTCAAATTATAAATTAATCGGTGAAATATTGATAGGGATCTGTACAAGTTTAATGACTTATCAATGTCTGATAACAATTTTTATCATATCTTATAAATTGTCTGTTTCAGTAGTTGGTGTAAGACAATACTAATCACAAAGCTAAAACTGTTAGGCTAAGTCTATTTTATCTATATTTCATACATATGTACAATGCCATTGCTGTGCTGGAGCGTTGTGAGGAATTTTGAATCGCTTTTTTAACATTACAAGTGAAATAGTTTTTATGATGATCACTGATCCCTATGCATAGGTTTTTTTTTGTAAATTTAAAATACAGTTTTTTTTCTATGCCGTTTCCTTTTGATATTTTTTTTTTTTTGTAAATATATTTTTGCATTAACAAACCAATCTATGTTATTATCGCTTCAAGATATCATCCACGTACACACATTGAAAATATTCACGTTTTACCTTTGTTTTTTTTTTATCTTTTTGATATTTATTTTATGGATAATCTAAAAATATTGAAAAGTAATGATTAATAAAAAAAAAATGCATGATACGATATTTTTTATAATAGCATAAAATGTAAACGAAAGTGACTAATGCGAAAGCTGTCTGAACCCTCGTTATAATAAAACAAAATTCCATCAAGACCCTCTTTCTAATTTTTATTCCACACAAATTATACAAATACCATGCATTTTCTTAAATGCAAAGTTGTGAATTTCATTGTTTTTTCTCCTAGTAAAGTAATTAATATTCTTGACAAATGTTCTTTTAACAAGATATCAATTTTGCATCACTATTCTTCCGGCATCAATTATGAAAAAGCAAACTTTTTTTTCAGTAAACTCAATAGTTTTGTAGAAATTCTGATACGTTTTGTTTAAAAATGTAAAGGCATTTCAAAAAAGCAATTCACGAGGGACTAACTATTAATTCATCAGAAGGAAAGTTGTATAGAAAACTAGAAAATTTGGTAGTAAAATTTCATTAACGCCCGTTATCTGTATGTATGCGGCAGCTGGCTTCATTTATTTCCCCACCAAATGTCAACAGATTCGACAATCATGATGAAATTAAACTGGTATCTAACGGGCGAAAAGAGCACAATTTGCTAATTTAATTTTCAATTCGCCAACTATTAGACGCAGAAGACAGGCGATTTGCCTTTACATTACTGCCAATTTGTATTTGCTCAATTCGTAAGAAACAGACGAAGTTAGATTAATAGCATTACCATCAAAATAGAGTACGTTCCTGCAATTTTTCGATGAGACCCCGATTTAACAAATTACAACCGTCAAAAGAATTGCGGTCGATACACAATAGAGGAATGAGAAAGTATTTGAAGATTACTTCTTAAACTAGCGAAGATAGAACTAATTAACTAATGAATTTATCCTCTGGTGTATAAGGATCACTTTTCGTGACAAATTAAACTCCAGATTAAATGGTATTTCGGCAAACAAGCACATTACCGTCAACGGGTTCTGACAATTACCATAAAACGAGCAATTTCTTAGATTAAACACTACGAATTTCCACCAAATTAAATCGACGATAGCTATTCACTGCCGAACAGTTATGGCTGCTAATAGATGTAGCTAATTTGTTAAATAACATATAACTAAAATAAAAGAACTATTATATTACTTGCCGATAAAATTTAATTTGTAGAGATCCAATCTCGTATTTTCCATAACAAGGATATTCTCAATCCTATATTTATTTTCTGATCAAACTTCACTTTAAAATTATGAACACAATTAGACTTTGGTGGTAGACAAAAAACCTATAAAGTAATTTCCGGGTAAAATATAGAAAATTTCTTTTACTTTAATTTTTAAACCAGGTTAGGAGCTCTTTTATATAGGATTCACTTATTCGGGGATTTAACAAGAGGTGGCAATTAACCTTAGGATAAACAACTGAAAATATTTTAGCTCTCAGTTAAGATATTTAACCAAATTTGGGTTAAATATTAAAAAAAAAAAGAAATAACGACTGGGACAAACTTATCAGCCTTCTTGCATATGTATGTGATATTTGTCACTTGGCGTTAAGCACAATCAAATAACAGTTCTTCTATAATACTTTATACTTTAGTGATCGTGAGTCTTTACTGATTCGAAACAGGGTTTTTTTTTTAACCAGTGACAGAAAAAAAATTCTGAATATTTATATATGGGTAAATATATGCAATTATGGATACATACTAGTGCAAGTTTCTAGGTACTAATCTCGGGGACAATAATTACACACTATACTTGATCACTGTCGTAAAACAAATACACAGATCATAAATTTAATCCATTTGTTTGAATGTTTTACCCAATGGAAGTAGCTCTTATCCTCCCTCTTATCCTTGAATGAAGTGAAAATTCTACAGCATATAGAAACAGATAAAGAACTTTTGCTTCTGTAAGATAAACTGTAGCATCGAATCGTAGCTGCAAATAGTGTAACATGTACAATATCATAGATTGTCACCATGGAAATATATTAGAATAAAAGACAAAAAGACTTTGTAAATAAATAAATTAAAAAATTAAATTAAAAAAAATTAAAAAAAATAAAAAAAATAAATGAATAAATGAATAACATGCGTTTACAGTATTTACAATAATTGTTATTTTTTTTATTCCAGCTCAGCAACAATCAAATCTTCTTGGAAAAACTCGTCGTCCTCGTACAGCATTTACCAGCCAACAACTACTAGAACTGGAAAGACAATTCAAGATGAACAAATACTTATCAAGACCCAAACGGTTCGAAGTTGCCACCTCCCTCATGTTAACAGAAACACAGGTATAAATAGCATTACTACTTTCATTTACTACTACATGTCATAGGCGGATCCAGGGGGGCCTGGGGGCACGCCCCCCCTTTCGTGGGAATCACTGAAGCATGACTGGAGCGGCCCCCCTTAGGTCAGTCAGCGCCCCCCTTATGAAAAGTTCTGGATCCGCCACTGCATGTACATCCTCTGCTGGTGAAAGTCGGGGTCCATAGTGTACTAGTTATTTGCCGGTACGTACGTTCGTCCCAATCATCCAATTAGATGCTCTCGTTAACAATATAGATTTTGGTTTGGGTCAAATGCGGATTCTTCGTTAATGTCATTGTGCACCTCCAATTTTATTAGTTTTATTAAAATTTTCTCAAAGCAAAACAATTAGGTTGTCGTTGACTTTATATATAAGAGGGAAGGCTTTTTCATATGAAATTTCTTTATGTATAATTGGATTGTAGAACAGTCACAGGCATCATGCACCTCCTGTTTTATTTTTTGGATTACATGAATATAATTCCTGGCGGTTTTCCTTTAGAAAATATTGATTTTTCTCAGTTTTTTACACAACGGAGAAAGAACCAAAAAACCCAAAACTCCTTCTTAATCAAACATTAAACTTTCAGAGAATCATAACTAACTCTTGCTGGTGAAAGCCTATTTTTTTCTTAACTTTAACTTTTTAAAATTAATGCGTTTTCTATGGCTAAAACTTATTTGGAGAGTGGTTATTAAATTGTAAGGTATAAAATCAGTATTATAGAAACCGATTAAATAAAAGAATACGGGACAAATTCCTCAGAAGATTTTTTTGTCAAAATTCTGGTGAACGGTTTTGACGGGTCATCAAGTTTTTCTTTTTGGGGTCTGAATGATTTTGCTACACGTTGCTTGTTTAAATATTGCTATAGTATTTCTGTGAATGAAAAATACATGTATAATCTTTTAAATGTTTTTCATATAGGTAAAAATCTGGTTCCAAAACAGACGAATGAAGTGGAAAAGAAGCAAGAAGTCAACAAATGAAGTCACGCGTAGACCGGAAGACGGTAAAAGGACTGATAAAAACGAAAGCGAAATTTCAAATGAACATATTTCAGAAAATATGGACTTATTTCAAATGGACGATGAGTCTGATATAGACATAGATGATGTTGATAGTGATTCAAATGATGAACACCTAATGACAATGGACAACATTTCAAAAACACATTCAGATCTCTTGCGCATGACTGCATCAGATTTTCCGATCAACCAATACAATAGTTTGTTACAGACTGGACCAGTGTCAACCTCGTGACATCATAACATTATACTTTACAAGATGTCCAATCTTTCCCACTACGGGCATAGATCACTTCTAATGTCAGAATGAACAAGTTTTTTGTCAGTATGTAGCAAGATATCGGAAAACGTTACAAGTTGTTGAAAATTCTTGTCTCTGAATTAGATATAGTCTCAAAGATTTTGGCAACAAGATACATATACGTGAACTGTAAATGTCAGTGATCATTGTAGACCTATAAAATTGCGTCCACAAAACCATTGCCATATTCATAGTGCTGTTGTTATGTAAATGTGAAATAAAATAATTTATGAAAAATACATTCTTGTTAATTACAGAATTTCATCAAGTGAAACGTACCAAATTTGACGAGTTTGTGGCGTTGTTTCTGAAAAAGTTCGGAGACAATTCTAATTGGTAGAGATCGATGTAAATGAATAAAACAACATTAATTAAACGAAACTAAACAAATATTTTGAGCACAAAACACCACTTCATATGCAGTAGAAATTTCAAATAAAATGAACATTGGGGAAAGCACTAAAGAGACAGAAACAAAATGAATTAAAAAACAAGAAGATAATGTGAGTCGAAAGATATACGGACAACGCCAAGCATCACCATGACAAAATGAAAAAAAAACAAAACAAAAGGGATGTGCTCCAACAACAGTACATGAAAGACTAAACAGAAAACTAACGAACCCATCTGAACATGAGGTAATTTACTCATGTGCTCTGAAAGAGTAATCAGCTGTTGTCCCGCTAGTTGCATCTATATATCGCATTGCCCGTAACAGGCACATATCTGTTGTAAAGTAGCTTTTGGTAACGTTATTACGATAGAAGACTGAGGATATTGTACATTAATAGTATACAATTTGAAATCAAATAGAAACATAATCGGCAATATTTATTTTACTTCAAATATGATGAATATTTGTTAGTTTCTACAATCAATGTGAATGGAGGACTCTGTTCATATATTCAGTAATATTATTTGAGGGATACAGTTTCACATTGTAGTGTTTTTATTGTGATATAGAAACATAAGAAACAAAGAACATGTTGCATAATGGTCAATGAGACAACTCTCCACCTCAGACCATACGGCTTTCAGCAATGAGCAAAACCCATACCGCATAGCAAGCTATAAAAGTTCCCAAAATGACAGATGTAAAACAAGGCAATACGAGAAAACTAACGGCCTGATTTTTGTACAAGACAATAAAAAAAAAAACAACAAAAAAACAAACAAATATGATATACATCAACAAACAACAACCACTGAATTATAAGATTTTGACTTGGGACAGGCACATGCAGAATAAGGCCGATTTGAACATGTTTAAGGGCGCCCAACACTCCCCCTAACCTGTGACAGGGGTTTAACAGCACAACACAAAAAAAAACCTATAAAAATCAGTTGAAATGGGCTTTATACTTGGTTTCATTGCAACGTTCTTGTAAATGCGCATTAGGAGAAAAAAGTACCTAGTAGTATTGGAGTAGTTCACTTGGAAACTTGATTGGAATTATAGATACTTATTAGTTGTTTTGCAAGGTTTTTATACATGTATATAAAATGGCTTTCAATATATATTTCGGTCTAAATACAAACATAAAATGTGTTTCCATGCACATTAAAGAAAAAAAAGAAAAAAAAAAAAAAAACGTACAGAAATATATGGTTTTCATATTTTTCATAAAAATCAATTCAATAGGTGTTCTATTTTCCAATTTTTTTATTTCCACGATTATATGTTGTTATTACTATGAAAGCATTAACCTAACTTCTGACAAAGGAACATTTTTACGATAATAGTTACCTCCCTTGAAACTCTATTTACCACCCTTTAGACCTTAAACTTTATTAAATGTAAGAACTTTACTTTGTATGTTAATTCTTATCAGCGATGACGTTGTAATGATCGCGTCCAATTTAGCATTTTGATGGTGTTTTTTTCTTCTGTCGTAAACTTTAAATTTATTATGTATTCACATTTGCACCGTTCTAGATATACTAAAGTACACATTACTTAGTCCTTGTCACGTATATTCATTGGTCCTTTGAATAAACTTGTGTTTAAAGGTTGTCAATTTGATATTGAAGATTGACTTTGTTGTAAATCCATCTGAGGTGTACTGGTTGATATTTAAGTTGAAGAAGATGTGGTCTATTTGTTAACTTAAATTGGAATTTAAGCAATCTTCGTAACTTTTTGAGTTCTCTTATTTATATATGTAAGAAACTTTGTGTCATTCTTCATTTTGCTAGTTTTTTCTTCTTCTTTTGTGTGTCATTACAATGAATTACATATCTGATGAGTGTATCCCTTTTCTACTGATTTTTGCAGTTAGTTAACTTGTTGTATGATTACACTACTGTGCCAGAAAAGGGGAGTGTTTAGCGCACACGGGCATATTTTACTCTGCCACATTCTGTATGTGCCTGGTTTAAACCCGATGCTTTTAATCTAGCAGTTGTCGTTGGTTGCTGTTAACCATAATCGTTTTTCGTCCATTGTTTTAGTATAGATACGGCTGTTGGTTTTATTGTAGCCTGCTATACGGTGTGGGTTTTACTCGTTGTTGAAGGCCATATGGTGACCTCTATAGCTGTTCACAATTTTGTCATTCGGTCTTTGGTGGAAAGTTGTCTCATTGGCAATGATACCACATCGCCTAATTTTAAATTTACAAGAATTGGGATACATTCTCTATATAGTTTTTAAACAGTCGAAGACAAACATGTTTAACAGAAATATATACTAGAATATAAATTGAGAATATCAGAAACAATACGATGAATTAAGATCTAAATGATCAAGAGTGCAAAAGAGCAACAGCATACCAACCGACGGATCTTATAAACAAGTAAAACAAAGGTGCACCACAATATTGCACTACTCATATTGATTAATTGTTGTTTGCTTAATGCCCAGTGGCAAATATTCCTCGCACAGTCAGGAAGACCATACAAAATAAGCGATGGCTTAAAACACGAATATGAAGATCAAACATGTATTTTGAAATTCTAAAAAAGCAAAAGTCGGTTTTCCAGCTTTGTTCAATATTTGTAGGCTTTCCGTAAGCATACCCGACTATTTGACAGAAGTTCGTGGAAAACAGAGCATTAAAGACCAAATTGAGACAGAAACTTCCGCTTTGGTATTTTAATTTCGAATTCTTAATTTCCAAAACCGGTTCATGTGAAACCTAAGGTTTATGTCTTTTCGGTATTTCATTTCAGCTTTCAAGTTTCTAAAAGTATTATATAAAGAAAACAGAGACTAATGGTACTGTAGCAAGGGAGGTCATTCAAATATATTCGATATCATTGCCTAAGACGATATCAATTTAGACAAACACATTCAGTCCTAATTCTTTTTCGTGATTTTAAAGTTTAAAAAATGAATTGTACATTCATGTTGTACATACTAAATAGTATATCTATGTTTCGCTTTTGTACAATAGCTCGATTTTGCTTGCATCCCTGTATGCTTAGAGTGTTAAAACATAATTAATCCGAAGTGTCTGTGCTATTCCATTTTATTGTAAATAATGAATTTGAACTACATTTTAAATTTTGGATTCTGAAAATCAAATTAAAAATAAATATTTAAAAGATAAATGTGACATAAAATTGGAAGATTTTTACATCGTCAGAGAATCAGTGAATGAATGTTTACTTTTCATAAAATACCACGGCCTAAGCAGTCTAATTTATCGCTCGTTAGTTAATCTAATGAAATGAAAATACAATTTGTCTAATCCTTGAACAAACAACATTATACCACAGTGGCTTCTGATTACCTTAACACAATCCTATCCGAATTAACCGTACCAAATTTGTCGTCATTCTAGACGATACCATATCTTAATCTTTATATAATATCAGATAATATGTTTTTGTAGCCAAAAGGTTAAGATTTTGATCCATCAACTGGCATATTCTAGACCGGAAATTACATAGTTGATACGAATATTTTCAAATATTATGAAAAATATGTAAAAAGTTTATACACCTGAAAAAAAATATATATGGTACCGCACATGTTATGAATTTCCAAAAGTGTTGTATTGTGCATGGAACAACAAACGCAACATGTTTTTGATCTCAGTAATAAAACTGTTGAAAATAAACGTAAAAAGTCATACGATGAAGTCAGAGGGAAAGACAGACATCTTTTGATTTTTTTTCACTGTTAAAGTCAACATCTAAAGTCGAAGGACAGAAAATAGCTTTTATAATCAGACAGGTATGAATACTAGGGTTTTAGTCCTTTTCAATGTGTCTTCAAACTTTTGGTAAGGTTAGACATTTTATGATTCAAAAGATTTCCTCCGGAAATCAAAGTTTTGATTTGATATATATTGTTAAAGTAAGAATGTGGCGATAGATTGATTGATTGTTGTTCGCTTAACGTCCCGTGTCTTTTATTTCATGCAAATTCAGGAAGAAAGTGTATATGTTGGTTTGAGTTGGGGAGAATAACTATTGGTCAAAAGCACATACTCGGGTCAAGCAATTTCAAATTGAGGTAATCAAAGAGTCAATACAAAATTATAAAGTAACAAAATGTCGACGCTGCGTTTTTTTTCTTCATAAAAAGACAAAGGAGTAATAAACTAATTAAACATCAGAAAATATTTTGAAGAGTTTTTTCATGTAAAATTCTTGATGTATAAATATTTAAGTGAATAGAATATAAGGACCTTGGATTTAAAGTTAATTTCGCCAACTTAAAAACAAATCGAAGATTACTCAAATTGTATTTGATTTTATGAGCATACTTAATTTTAATGCACTCTGTACATATTTTTAAACATCCAATGTCATAAGCGGCTCATTTATTTAATATAGTTATTGAGTTATGTCGCTTTGTATAAATTAGTGAAGTTGCTTGCTCTTTGACGCTGCTGGATAGCTGATAAACTTTGGGGTATCTTAAATATCATTTTTGTAAATGGTTGGCTCTTAGCAATATCATCAAATGAAATTAAAAAAAAAGGAGACTAAAAGACAAATTAACTGTGTAAAAATTAATTATAAAAAAAAAGCATTATTTAAATTGTTCTATCACCAAGTTACTGTTCAAAACGGGATTGTATTCCAGGGAACGGACTGTTAACAAGCACAGCAGAAAATGGTTACATACATTGTATGTAATGAGGTCTTACAATTAGCAAATATTCGGGGAGGACTCTGTACTCTGACATTCAGTAAGAAATCTGAATCTTTTTTTTTATTAGAATACTATTGAATTAGTACTAACACTAAAATTAGTATATCAACAGTTAAAAAAATTGAAAGCTTTGACCATGTCATTATGAGGCAAATCGACATATTTCAATATGAAGCAATGCAATCAATTAGACTTAGGGTTATAATGCTCTGGTCTTGAATCCATAAGTAGTTGATACCTAAGTCAAGACAGTATATATGAACAAGGCTGCACATCTTATGTTACAAAGTATAAGGATTCTTGATAAATTATCTGACATGAGGCGGTGTCTGTTTACTTTCTCTGTATCACAATAAGTTTCAGTTCCCATCACAATTATATACGTATTCTGATTGCTATATTTCATCTTAATACTCTTCTACTGGTAACATTTGGAATTTAATTAAATTCAATATCAAAGGGCATTCATGCCGTTATCATAATTCTACAAGTAAAACAGTTATTTTGCAATATTTACTACATAATGACGCGAAAATCACAAACATTTGACTATTTTTCTTGTATCAATCACGCCTTTAACACATCAATACCAAAGTGGCCGCCGTGACACCTCACAATAACGTAGAAACGTAGATAAGCTCATTTGACGGTTATCATAAAATTAAATCAAAATGACAAAATTATTGAAGTTAACATTTGGCGTGCTGACAACCAGTGTACTCTGTTATCACTAACTGTTGAGTAATTACAGGCAGTTACCTCTATACAGGTGTTTAATAATGATAATACACGTAAAATTACCGGATATATCAGTCAATTCCTGATTACATTCAAAATAGGTTTTGTAGTATATATCTAAATATGTTCTATAATTGAGAACCACAATTAAATGCAGAAAATCCCCTCTCAGAAAGAAAAAAAATAAGCAGGGTTTACATTTACTTCTGAATTTAAAGAATTCTTTTTAAAAGTGAATAAAACCTATTTTGAAAATGAATGAAAGTTTCCAGGCTTACTTGTAATTACAGATACATGTTTTCCAAAAAAAAAGTTAAGAATCGAATTTAAATACGATCTGTAAAAACCCATTACCAAATTACATACAAAAGTCACTAATTTAATATGGGAGAAAATTATTAAACACGGATAGTGCACATTAAAATATGCTAAATCCGTTAGATATGTATAATAATTATTAATTTTGTAAAAGAACCATGATAATTTATCAGTTATAACACTATGAACTAGCTTTTAGTAACTGCGAGTATTCGGTGATCGGTATTTTTTGCGGTTTTTGTAAGCTGTTAGATGTGCCTCGTGTCGATATGATGAGTCGAGCCGTTTCCAACTGATATTTATCGTGTGTTCTTATGTTGTGATGTTACACCGCTGTCCCAGGTTAGGGCAGGCTTTGAGTTTTAATGTGCCTTTCCCAAAGTCAGGAGCCTTGTAATTCAGGGGTTGACATTGATTGATGTCTGTCATATTTGGGGTTTTTTTTTTCGTTTAATGTTTTATCATAAGTCAGGTTGTTGGTTTTTATCTCGTTTGATTGTGTCACATTTTATGCTTTCAGTGCCTTTTATGACTTACTATGTCGTATGGAGTTTGCTCATTGTTGAAGGCCATACGGATGACATGTAGTAGCTTATATCCACATCGAGTGATCTCTGGTGAAAATTTGTTTTATTGGCAATCATATCATTGGTCTTCTTTCGACCAGCAGTAAAACTCTTGTTTTGCGGGATGTGTTTTGCTCATGAAAGTGATTTGTAGATCTTGTCTTGCTGATCATTTTTGCTATTTAAAAGTTTTTATCTTTCTATTATAGTTTTCAAGATGCTAGGCAAAAATTGGGAAAAACGTCATTTAAGGGCAATAACTTCAATAAGGAATCAACTTTCGATTTCGGTTTAATATGCTGAATTATTTGTACATCTTGTCTTGCTCATCATTCTTGCTATTAACATTGTCTTCATATCTATTATAGCTTTGAAGATAATTGGCAAAAGTGCAAAACAATTGGAACAAATTCGTCCTTAAATGTCAATAACTTCAATAAAAAGGCAACTACGATTTCGTTCATGTAGACTTATTTGTAGATGTTGTCTTGCTTATCATTTTTGCAATTTAAAGTTTCTATCTATTTATTATAGTTTTCAAGATAAAATGCAAAAATGCAAAAAAATGGGAAAATCGTCATTAAAGGGCAATAACTTTAATAAGTTGTCGCCTGACAATTTCAATTGTGCTGTTTTATTTGTAGATCTTGTCCTGCTGATCATTTGTGCTATTTAAAGTTTCAGTCTATCTGTTATAATTTTCAAGATTATAGACAAAAATAGAAAAAAAATGGAAAAAAATTGTCGTTGAAGGCAATAACTCCCATTAGAAGTCGTCTGACAGTTTTGATGTCAATATTCATTAGGTGGATCTTATTATTCTGAACATTTTAGCTGCCATTTTCTCTATCTTTAGCGGTTTTAAAGATAATGAACAAAAGTTGCATTTTACCCCTGTTCTATTTTTAGCCATGACGAGTTTGGTATTATTTGGTAAAGTAGTTTCAGAGGAGATGATCCTTGTAAAAGCTAATTGAGGACGGACGTCGTGTGATGGAGAAAAGCTCACAGGTGAGTTAAAAAGACATCCATGACTTTTACTGTAATACAAATAACTAAAAGGGTTGATAACAGGTGTGTGCAAAAAAGCAATAGCAAATACGATTCGGTTACTTTGCATTTAACTAATTTAGAAATGTTTAAACGGTATCGAAAGTGCGAATTTAGAAAAAATAAATAACAAAAATGATTATAAAAACTGACTACATCAAATTTTTTGTTAAAACATTGTATTTTTAAATTAATATTGTGTTTCGTTTTCATTCTCTTATATATCTTTATTTTAGAAAAATATCATACAAACTTCTTTGTTATAATGTTCTTTGTATGTGTCTTATTGTGGTGTATATTAGAGTTTGATTTTTTTAATATCTATTATAATTATACAATAAATAACAATAATTCACCATCAGTGCTTTTTGCTTATATAAGAGTTATTTCATGTAACTACATTGCTCCATATTCTAATTCCTTCAACATCTATATTTTCACTCGAACACGGTTTAGAGAATGGATCTTCCTATTTCTGAATTTTTGTAAGGGGGTTTTGTTTTTTTAAAGTAAATATTCTTAATATTTTAACTTATTTTCATTTATTTAATGCGATTTATTAATATATGATGCCCTTTATTCTTTGTTTCTTTGTTTTTTGGTGTTTTTTTGCTGTTTCATGTACTGATTTTGTTATGCATGAATACGCCATATCCTTTCTATTTCTATTAAACGACAATATTTCAATTGTTATTTATTAGGTTCGGTTAAAAATAGTTATAATAGTATTTATAGATCTCTAAATTTCATTTAAATATATTTATATATTCATGATACATTAATTCAAAAAAGTAAGACACAATTTCTATTAGATGTCAAATATTAATTTATGAATACATTTTCTTTTTACTTGACTGTCCGGGGTAAAAAAACAAACATAGCATGCACTATTTCCATAATAAAATAACATACAATAATCTTTTATTTAAATGTGGCATATGAATTAAGCAGCATTTACGAAGTTAATAATTACATACATACATGCATTTAAATAATATCCCAATTTTTTTTATGTCAATGACAAATTACACAAATGTAAAAGTATAACCACTATTGTCTCAGGAATTACATCAGTTTTGCTATACAGTGCCACTTAACATATTGCTTGACTGTTATTTTTAGTAAGCATTGCAAGTCTGATTATTTGCATATTAGTATAAATATGTGTAGTGCCACTTAACATATTGCTTGACTGTTGTGTAATTTTAGTAAGCATTGCAAGTCTGATTATTTGCATATTAATATAAATATGTGCTATAATTTTGTTACAACATTATTGTCATTAACTAACATATTCATGTCTGAACCATTTGTTGTTTGTACTTTTGGAATTGTGATAAATGTCGAAACGTGGCCGTCTCGTGATTTTTCATACGAAATAGAAGCAGTGTCATTCTCTGCAACACCACTATCGGAATCTTTATTGTCCGGTTCTTGTTCAAACAATGAATATCGCATATTTACTTCTGACATCTCATCGCTAGTGGGCCGCATATAATATTCCTCTTTGTTTCTAAGTTCTACTTTATCCTCAGGCTTTCTGTCAGGTGGCCTAAAATAAATACAGGTCAATAACAGTAAACAAAGGAACTCGGCTAAATATTGATTTATAAATTGGTGATATTGGTGTAGCTCAATCTTTAGTCCTCTGTTATTTGTCGAGCTTTTGCCATATTCGTGTTTTTCTTTCTTTTTTTGACGTCATGTTGTATGAATACCTTCGACTTATGGCTTTTAATTACCCTTGGCATCTTTCTCCTATTTTACAGTATAATTATCCTACTTTAATTTTACCATGTATGCAGCAGCGTCTTGTCATATAAGTAAATGATAACAAATTCACTTGGCACAATTCAGTTGTCTACAATAACCTTTGAGATGTATAGTTGAGTTATGGTAGCAACATACGCAAACTTAATACTGAAAGGACCAGAGTAAAATATGCTACCTTTGAGCTCAACATTTCAACCCTAGTTCAATTAGAATATGACCCACACAATTACAGAGTACAGTTATAAATCACATTCGTACCAACATAAACAATGTATACTAGGGGATGGTATATATATTTCGGGACTTCCCGCCCTTCAGCAGCTTTACCACCAGATTGGTAGGAAGATAAACTATACTACCGGAATTAATTGCTCACGGCAAGTTTCGAGAGGCTTTATCATTCGACTCGCCATAGGAAACAAAAGTAAGAGTGGGGTTCAACTATATAATATTCAGTTCTCATGGATGGCTGTTTTTGTCCGTGATTGTTTTCCTATATTCATTTAAGGTTCTTGATTGTCTCTGTTGTATCGGATTGATGCATGGTACTTAATTTAGTGACTTATAACTTGGCTACCTAACATATGTTTGGTGACTTACGTATAGATTTTATCTAGTCAAAGAAGATAATTCGTTTGGTTTAAGAAAAGCATCTCCAATTAAGGAAAAATGCTATCCCATTTGTATGATGTAAAGTACTGTTTGTCGTTTCTTTAAAATTCTCTACTCATAAATAAATTAACACTTTTTTATAAATTTGGTGCGTCTGGTTCACTTTTCTGGATTAATATTCATCAGAAACGTTGAAACCATCAACAATGAATGCCAAGGATGTATAAATACCTGCATACGCTAGCAGCCATAAGACTAGAAATGACATAAAAAGAATAGCCAAATTCTAATTGTTTTACCTTGAACCCACATCCCAGGTGACATTTAAGAAAACATATATATTTGATAAACTGCATTTGTTAGTGGAGACTACATACATACAAGATTAAGAATGTCTCTATTCTTTGTAACACAAACCTTTGTCCACATGCCACGTGACAGATGATAGTACCAATGACCAGAAGGGTAGGTAGCACTACCGCAAACACTATACCTACAGTTGCACCTGAACGAAAAAAAAGAGGAAAAATAATAGACACATGTTTCGCATAGCACACGAAGACATTACAACACTACACTTCTGTAAACAAACATTAAATAGATGAAGGCACATGGGAGCAAACAAATAGTATAATATAATCATTGTAAGGTACACTATACAATGAAACGTTCTAATATAATAATTGTTAAATGAGACAACTTTCCATTAAAACCCAATCTACAAATATCTTCATAAATGTACTGCTATTGAATTCCCGTACACTAATTCGCCGATATTTTCCCGTATGCGGTGACCTCTCGTTAGAACTTATAACGTGCACTGGAAGGTAAATAGTAATAACTGAATCTTAAAGAACAAATTTAATACAACAAATCATTTAGCAAATATTAAGAAAAAGTTAAATTAAAAAATGGGAACGCATGTAAAATAAAAAAAAATATCATGGATCTATCAATTCACTTACAACTCTGTGTTGATTTTTTATCAATGTCACGATCAAGTAAACTTGGGCAACAAACTCGAAAATTAATTAGCTTTCGAAGTTGCGATCAACAATCACTGAATGAAATATTATTTGTCGCTAATACGTTATAGATTCGTAATAAATATAAAAAAAAAAACGTGATTGATTGCTTGGTCGGGTTGTTGTCTCTTTGACACATTCCCCATTTCCATTCAGTATTTTATACAGGACTTAGTTTAGTATCGATGCATGCAATGGCTCATTACTTTCGATAACATTAAAATTCCCATAAAATTGTTTTATATTATTTTAAATGTAATTTTTATTATATTTATATTTATACTTTGAAAATATAATACAAAATGTAAATCAACATTTTTATTTTCACGCTGCAGGTTGTACAAGGTTTACCTATTCAGTAATCATGATGTGGAAATGATATTTGAAAATAAATTTCTCTGAAGATGAACGTTACGTTAATGTTATTACTATCACTGAGTCGATACCTCTGCAGGTGGACTGATAGTCCCCGAGGGTATCACCAATCCAGTAGCCATTACTTCGGTACTGGCATGAAAATACGGTTTTTGTGTCATTAAGGCCCCGTTCACACTAGGACATTTAGATCGATTTAAGCTAGATCGGTTCACTTTAGATCGATTTAAGGGCCAATGTGAACGCGTAGGATCGATCTTCAATCGGTCTAAACTAAAATACCAAAAGAGGTAGTTTAGTTTGAATCGATCTAAAGTGAACCGATCTTTCTTTAAATGTGAACGCAGAGATCGGTTTAAACTAGTACGATTGAATCGAAAATAATGTATGCGCATGTATAGCGGCACAACTATATCAATGGTTCGTTGTTTAACTCATATTTCTCTGTTAACAGACCGTTGTGTACATGCACGTAAAAACAAACTGAAAACATGTTGTCTTCGCCGTAGCATAAATTTGCGAAATCTGTGTCTTCTTTTTTAAGTTTTTTTTTTTCTTTTCAGGAACCGCAGTATTTCGTCGTGTTGTAACTTCGTTGCTACAGTCTTTTGTTTCAAAATCAAAGAAAACTGCAAGAATATTCTTTACAAAGCACAAAAATGTCAGTATTCACCTCAAAAGCTAACAAAACCTTTAAACAGACTTATTAGGAAGGGATATAGTTACGATACTGTTGTCAGGTCATTAAAGATTGCATATTTTGGCTTTAATATTGATTCACTTATAGGGTCTTTGCATCGGAATTAAACATATTTATTCTAAAACCAGTTGTTGGCATGACACGGGTTATGTTCTTCTCACATATATTTTATGATGGTATAATACTAAACCCCTAACAGGAGGGATTGTGCCTGATATTCATATGATGAAGACATAATCTTTCAATCAGTTTAATTGAGGTCTGGAGCTGGCATGTCAGTAACTGCTAGTAGTCTGTTGTTATTTATGTATTATTGTCATTTTTTTTATTTTATTTTGTTTCCTATTCTGACATCGGACTCGGACTTCTTTTAAACTGAGTTTTACTGTGCGTACTGTTGTACGTTTGTTTTTTCTACATTGGCTAGAGGTATAGGGGGAGGAGACTTGGCAGCCCTGAAGTTGAGATCTCAAAAACATGTTTAACCCCGCCGCATTTTTGCGCCTGTCCCAAGTCAGGAGCCTCTGGCCTTTGTTAGTCTTGTATCATTTTTAATTTTAGTTTCTTGTGTATAATTTGGAGTTTAGTATGACGTCCATTATCACTGAACTAGTATACATATTTGTTTAGGGGTCAGCTGAAGGACGCCTCCGAGTGCGGGAGTTTCTCGCTGTGTTGAAGACCCATTGGTGGCCTTCGGCTGTTGTCTGCTATATGGTCGGGTTGTTGTCTCTTTGACACATTCCCCATTTCCATTCTCAATTTTAAGAACACCAGTATCAAAATTCATCCAATTTTTTTTTCAAGTGTGTGTATCAGTGTATCAACACATCAATTTGATAAATTAGTTCTATTTATACACAATGTTTACAGTTTTACGGGTAATAAGGTCAGATCAATTGCATTTTTAATTGTAGTGTGAACGCACTGGTTCAGATTAGACCGATAGAGATCGATCGTTATGATTAAAGATAATGTGAACGCTAACTGGTTTTATTTAGATCGATTCAAATTAGATCGATTAAAGAAAAATGCTAGTGTGAACGGGGTCTAAGATTTGCTGTTACAAAATTTTGGAATTATATCTTCCTAATGCAAAACTCCTTGCCCGGCTTTGGCTATACTTTTTGTCCTTTTTTGTTTATAAGCTCTTCTTTATTTTAATAAGCTTTGGATTTTCAACAAATATTGTGGCCTCGAGCATCACTGAAGAGACATTTTTTATCGAAATTCGCATCTGGTGTAGAAAAGTTGGTACCGTTACTGTTATTTCAGTAATTGATTACGCCAGTTCAAAAACACAGCGACAACACGTACATGTATGCTACCGGAGATTCATTACTTTTGGGGGATACCAGTTTTCGTGGATTTCATGGATACAGGTGAACCACGAATTTAAATGTTCAACGAAGTACAAACTGCCTAAAAGCTTGAATGCAGACCTTTTTAAAACCATGAAATCAAATATCCTCGAAAATACAATTAGTCTTTAATTCACGAAAATAAGTCAAGGAAATAACAGTCACACACGTAGTTGTGGTATCGAGAAAGTGGCGATCGAAACGATGGCCACGTTGTATTATGGTTCGTAAAAAAATACGGAGGTCCAGATTTTCATCACTAATTGATAAAGACAAAAAAAAACCCACCTAATTATATGATTGTCTGTTCAAAGTCTGAAAATGGTAAATGTGTTTTCTATGATCTGAAAACTTTCTACTTGACGCTGTAAATAATTAAATTATTCAACCAATTTAACATCATCGTCAACATTTTGAAAAATTACGCAATATGAAAAAAATAAAGCGAATCGTACTGTATTAAACACAACAGCATAAAAAACAAAAACAAAACCAAAAAAATAATACAAAAAAAAACAAACAAAAAAAACACATATGTTTTTTGTTATTTTAACAACTTTATGTTCATGGAACGCTGACGTAAAAAAAAACAACAAAAACACCGTCATATGTTGTGTCTGACTATGTTTAAAGCCAAAAACAAATAAATTAAATAAATCACACATTTCGGGAAGTTTCATTTTTAATATACCTGCGCTAATGTCATCATTATTATCGACTAACTTCTTTGGTGGTAATGTTCCTCTTGCAGGCGTTGTTGAATCAGAAGATTTTGGTTGCGTTGTTGCCTCTTCTGTTGTTAACGGCTCTGTACTTATTGCTGTAGTATGGCCTGGTGGATATACATAACAATCGGAGGACATAACGTCTTCTGTATCTGATAAAATATTGAGAAATGTATGATTATTTATATGCATATCCTATTTACATGGTTTGATATGTATAGTTATATATTTTTTTAAAGAGAGTCGAAAGATACCAAAGGGAAATTCAAACTCATTAGTCGAAAATAAACTGAAACGCCATGGCAAAATACGAAAAAGACCAAAAAAACAAGCAACGGTATAAAAAACACAATATAGAAAACTTATTATAAGACTGAGCAATACGAACCTCAACAAAAACCGGATGTGATCTCAGGTGTTCTGGAAGGGTACTCAGATCTTGCTCCACATGTGGCACCCGTTGTGTTGCTCATGCATGTAAGTACAAACCCGGTATAGTCCAAATATTTTTACCATGAACTTAATTAATTCTTAGCATATTTGAATCGCAAAATTTAAGTGTATTGCTGTTAACGTAAATGCGTACGAGACCATCGATAATCACATTTCTCTAAAAAATCATTGATTAAAGATTTGAAGATGCCGAAAAAATCGAAAAGACAAACAAAAGAAGAATATTAGACCTGTTGATAAAACTGAAGTAAGCAATCAAATCAATACATATCTCTTATTAATTCTATCTGTTGTTAACTTTAATTAAAATTACTATTGATTTTTCTCCCTTTGTTGCTAATTTTCCACTTTAAAGCAAATTTTGTAGTTAATAAAAATAACTTTTTAACACCCGGTTATATCTATGAAAACTTATTTACTGTTTCTTACCTAATTCGCATACAAATGGTAGTTGCGCTGTACAATTTAAGTTACTGTCTATTTTCAAAACACCAGCAGTGAGCATCCCATGAAAACAAGAAGCTGTAGATACTGATGACTCTTCCTCTGTTAAAGAAAAAAGTATACATTTTCATAAATGACATCTGAATTGCTTTAAAATAATAAAAATGATTGCACCTAAGGAAGTAATATTTCGTATCTCTTTTTATTCATGATAGACAGCTCCTCGCGCAAGTGCAGGTTTAAAAGAAACTGACTAAAGGGATTTGGAATAGAAAAGGATTTTTCAAGGCATATATCTGAGTTTATCTTTAACTTATATCTACATATGACCAATAGCTGCGTTCTAAAGATATTGTGTCATAAAAATAAAATTGAGAATGGAAATGGGGAATGTGTCAAAGAGACAACAACCCGACCATAGAGCAGACAACAGCCGAAGGCCACCAATGGGCCTTCAATGCAGCGAGAAACTCCCGCACCCGGGGGCGTCCTTCAGCTGGCCCCTAAACAAATATGTATGCTAGTTCAGTGATAATGGACATCATACTAAACTCCAAATTATACACAGGAAACTATAATCAAAAATGATACAAGACTAACAAAGGCCAGAGGCTCCTGACTTGGGACAGGCGTAAAAATGCGGCGGGGTTAAACATGTTTTTTGAAATCTCAACCCTCCCCCTATACCTCTAGCCAATGTAGAAAAAACAAACGCACAACAGTACGCACAGTAAAACTCAGTATAAGAGAAGTCAGAGTCCGATGTCAGAATAGGAAACAAAAGAAAATAAACAAAATGACAATAATACATAAATAACAACAGACTACTAGCAGTTATGTTTTATACAGCAATACTGATGCTGTTATTGAATCCACACTCAATTTGTGGGTGAAGCATGAATAGAATGAGATTCAATAACAGCATCAGTATTGCTGTATAAAACATTTTGTGTGAAAATATCTTTAGAACACAGCTATTGGTCATATGTAGATATAAGGGAGACAATTTCAATCTATGACAAGTTGAGCAATTTGTATTCATTTACTTAAAAAAGGAATGTAAACACATAAAGCAAACGTGTAAAAGAGAGGCGAATGGTACCAAAGGAATATTTAACCTCATAATATTTGTAAGACTAACAAAGATTCTCCCGACTTGGGACAGGCGTAAAAATGCGGCGGGGTTAAACATGTTTTGTGAGATCTCAACCCTTCCCCTTTACCTCTAACAAATGGAGAATAAACCAACACACAGCAATACGCACAGTAAAACTCAATTTAAAAGAAGTCCGAGTCCGATGTCAGAATAGGTAACAAAATAAATTAAAACAAGGTATATTACAGCCGATTTCAATGAGTGTGTAGGCAAAGGTAATAATATCTTTGGTTAGCTTGCTTGCTAGCTGAACTGTGGTCATTGTTAGGTTAGGTAAACAACCCTCCTTTAAGAGTAGACTAGTCCGACAGATAACCGATCTATCTGTCTATAGGACTAGGCTACTTCGAACGGAGGGTAGTATACCTTACCTAACAATGACTTCACGGTTCAGCTAGCAAGCAAGCTGACCAAAGATATTACCTTTAGCTTCACACTCATTGAAATCGGCTGTAATACTACGAAAAACTCATTAAAGTTTCCAGACTTAAAATTATCTACATAAGTATCATCAGTGACACTATAATCAAAATTTGCAAAACGTTTTTATACTTTTGTCTTTGATAGGTTTTGTTTTAATTCTGCTTCCTACGATTACAAAAACAAGATGAAATATCAACCCATATGTTGTCGATAAAAAATATCCAACATTTTGATGATATTTTCTTCCTTGTATTTCGGTATTTGGAATACAAGGAAGATATGAGGTATATATCAACGAAACAGCAACCTGACACTACCCATATAAAACAGTATAAAAAAATAACAAATGAAAAGCCCTTAAGTGGACAACAATCAATCAAATACAAATGTTTTTGTCATACATTCTCCTTTACAAATGAAACAGTATGGAATCATGTGACTATAATGTACTCTTACACGTAACGGACATTCACCTTTCACAACTTTAGTTCTTTTTCGCCTATAAAGACCTATCCAAAACGGGGCTCTGCTTGTTGTGTTGACACATTCTAGATCGTTGATTGTACCAGCTAAGAGAAAAGATTGATAATCGGACCAGCAAGCTTCTTTTCCTTCATTCCAATATCTATTGTCTTCTATCTCGCTTTTGTCATCTACCAAAAAGATGAGTAAACTAGAAGCAGAACTTTAATTTTCAATTGAAAATCACGCATATTTTACATTATATTTTTAAACGATGTTTTTTAGAAAGTGTGATCTTTTTTTTTTATACTTTTCTCAAACGGGCCTACCGTTTTGCATTTTCATTCAGACGAACTCGCTGAACTAAACAACAAAAGTTAAACACTTGCATTTTTAAATACTGTAAAATAATTCACAGATAAAATGCTAAGTTAAATACAATTAAAATTAAATTAAAGAGTTAAAACAAAACAATATAAAACAATAATTGCTATTCATAAAGTTGTTAAAAGTATGACATAAGTCCGTAAATATACGATGTAGAAACTGGACACATATGTTAACAAAATAACTGCGACTGACATGCAAAACTTTTAAACCCATAATGCCAAATGGACGAAGTGACAAATTAGATAGAAAATTGTAGATATTATGCACTATACCAATCATTTGTATTTGGAAAAAGAAATGAGTATTACAAGGAACTCTGCAATATGTTACATGATAGTCATTTGGAAAAAAAGTATACATACAAATTACGTACTGCAAGTCGTCGGTAGTGATTGGTTAAAAACAGTATGCATACAAATTACGTACTGCAAGTCGTCGGTAGTGATTGGTTAAAAACAGTATGCATACAAATTACGTACTGCAAGTCGTCGGTAGTGATTGGTTAAAAAAAGTATGCATATAAATACGTACTGCAAGTCGTCGGTAGTGATTGGTTACAGGAATACCCATAGTATTGCCATCCTGAGTTGGTGCACTCCACACAACCACACATTATAGAGTTTTTGTTTGGCTCATCATCTCGGTCAAGCACTAGATTATTGGACACTAGTAAATAATAAATGATAACATTTACACCGTAGTTGTAAGTTTAATATCACTTTTAAACAATCAATTGAAGTACAGTTTACATCGACTTTATTTTACGAAATATGATGCAGAAAAAAGTTATGAAAAAGCTCTCTTTTTGAAAAATTTCAATATAACGGAAGTAATTAATATGCTGTTATGCATCGCAACTATAAAACTATAAAATCAAAACGCGCACTTAAGGATGTTCGCTGCTCAGTTTCAAAATAATAAACTTTTGAAAAGACCGTTGTACATTGATAGTATATAAATAACGGAACTTAAAAAGCAGAAAAAATGAAGGGGAACTGTCCTTGTTTTTTTTTTTAATATAAGCAATTGAAAATTTGGCGAGAAATAGTTCTCTCTAGATTTTTTATACATTTAACACTGGCACCCTTTTACTTTCAAAAACTATGAAAAAAAAATAAGGATCTTATAAGTTTTCAAAATTGGCTTTTTAAACAATATATTATAAAACTACGAAAAGAAAAGTAGGGGTTAGCAGCAAACATTTTAATTGGCACTACATGCATAAAAGTAGAGGATTCCAAATATCTGGCAAAAAGTATAAAACAAGAGTAGCCACCATCATTTAAATGAAAACGATGTTATGCTATGTGATACGGCAAGTCGTAAGTATATGTATTATGTAGATCTATTTACCTTTCTTATAAACAGTTATATACCCATTGCCACCACAAGAATCTTGCATATTTTCGTCACATGTCTTGTTACACATTGAATCATTTACTGTACTTTGATCTGTTTCCCATGCATAATTATCAGGCAAACAGAAACAATTGTTATCCTACAAACAGGAAAATACTTTTTAAAACTCTTTTCACATGTACCTTTAACGCGTGACCATATTCGACCACCAAGACGGATGAAATGAGTTATGTAAGGACTGCTCACCCCGGCTTGAATTTTGGGTTATCAATGCTCCTTAACTCCGTACTTTATTAGTCCTTTTAACTTTTTAATTCGAGCGTCACTGATGAGTTTTTTGTAGATGAAACGCGCGTCTGGCGTACAAAAATATAAGCCTCAGTGTATATAAAGTGCGAATCCAGTTAGTTCATTTTCACTGTCGTATGCAAGTATGTCTATTGTAGAATAAAGGATGATGGGAAAAACTGCGTTTGTTTACTTTTTGAAAATACAAAATAATTGATTTGAATGTATGTTTTAACACAATTTCATTAGAATATAACTTTTTAATGTATAATAACAGAATTAAAGTCTTAAAAGTGTAATTAAAGCTGCTGAATTCATAATATTGATCACTGAATGCGATTCATTTTAACTATAAATACGATGAACATTATCACGGTTAGTGCGATCATTTCTGATGTGGAATTTTTGGAGGTGCGATGAATTTTCATTGCTGTTTTATATGATAATTCGACATGCAACAACTGAAAATAGTCTTTTAATGACTTTAATATTGATGATATTTACAATTTGAAATGCAAGCTAGTCGTAGATGCTTATACACGGGTATGACCAACGTATTGTTGATTCCGGACGTTGTGCGTTGATTTTGTTTTCTGTACGTTCGTTTCGTGTTTTCGTCATAGTTCTGTGCCGTTCGTTAGTAAAGCATCGAAAACATAATTAGCTGTTTCTATTGAAATACCTATCTTTTTTTTTTGTTAGCAAGCATTTGCAACTACTAAAACTATTTGACATTTCTATCATTTCATATTATAAATCAAAACAACCTGCATTTTGTATTTGTTTGATGTGAAACAGAACTTACTGGAACTAGAGAAGCCCACTCATCAGGAGCACCTGATTGCAATCCAGTTTCTTAGAAATCCAGTATTTTGATCTTGAGGTCAAAGGTCAAGACTATGCTCTATTTGTAGTTTAATCAAGTTTTGATTATACAGAGTGTTTTTTTCGCGATGTTTTCAAGTAAATCAAAGACCTGTGTATTTAAAATAATCACATGGTGTTCATGTAATATAAATAATGTATAATGCTGTCAGGAGCAGTAAACTTTGTTTTCATAAACATTCAATACTTAACTGAACAGTACGTCAATTAGTCTTTGGTGAAAATAATAGGACGGTCTACTCTACAAACATCGTTTTGCGATGCAGTGATTAACATTCGGAATTAACTGTACGGCGGTTATACCCCGTGGTATAGAACCATTTAAACATATAACTATAAACTGTATTCAATATATCCTTGAATTCTTACAATTACGTATTTGCTTATTTGTAACAACGATTTATAAGAAATTCAAACATAAATTAAGATGACTAGATTGTAGGTCGAACTTTCTTTACCGTATAAATTTTATCTTACATATAGATCTTGATCTGGACAAAAATTAGAGAAAATAGAATTGACTTTTTTTTTAACCAAGAAATGCTATTTTACGGAATTTATTGATATAATAACTCAGACTTTCACTCACAAAGTATGCATATATAATCAATCCTTCTGACTTCATAAATTTTGTTAGAGAGTCGGCTGAATTAAAACTTTATATGATGAAATTAATTAATTTCCTTCTGTGAAAATGCATCGCATGTACAATAGAAATGAATCGCCCCTACAGTGAAAATGAAAGTCTAGTATCATTATGAATCGCATAACGAAAACAGCATAGTGGAATTTAATGCAATATCAACAACCTGAATAACAAAACCTGTTTTAAGTTATACAACATTAATAATTATGTTAAAAGGTACATTTTTCTGCAAATGAAACTTAACACGCTCTGTTCGTGAACTATTCTTAATATTTATCTATTTGTGTATCAATTTTACACCCGGGTGGCTGTAGGCGCGATGAAAACCCGTCCGCTTCTCATACCTATATCATGAATTTATAAAAACAGTACACGTTACATATTATTTCTTATTTTATTAAAAAATCATGAATTTGTCGTCTGTTTATTTATCATCCTGCATTAGAAATTCATAACGGATACAGTAAAAATGATATTCTAGGATTCGCACATTATATTCACCGAGCCTGAATTCTTTGATGAGTTTATTTAAGTTTGGTTTGCATTACATTGTAGATTTATGTAAGTCTATCTCTTCAATGATACCAGGCTTATAGTTTGGTATGAAAGACGCGCGTTTCGTCTACAATTCGTCAGTAATTAAAACTCTTTTTTTTAAGTTTTATTTAGGAATAAATTATAACAGATTTATCTATGATCTTTTGGTGCAGTTCTTAATGACGAGCTATTAATGAAGCCTTTTGTGAAAAGTCGCTGATGCATTATTACCTTCGTTTTATGACGTTTTAAGTTAGGTGAGTATTTTGCAATAAATATTTTTTAAACATATTTTAAGACTTTACCTTAAAACAGGTAGAAGTAAAGATATGTTGTATAATTGCCAATGAGAGAAATTATATATACTAGAGACCAAATGATGTAGATTTTAGCAACTATAGGCCACCGTACGGCATTCAACAATGAGCAAAACTCATAGCGTATAGTCAGTTATAAAAGGTCCCGACATGACAAAATGTGAAATAATTCAAACGAAAAACCAACGGCCTGATTTATGACAAAATAATAAACGATAAACAAATATGACATACTGGCTCCTGACTGGAACTAGCTCATAAAGAATGTGACGCGGTAAAACATGTATGTGAGCGATCAACCCTCCCCTAACCTTGGACAGTGGTGTAGCAGAACAGAATACGATCAGTTGGAAATGACTTGACACATCATCCGATCGGAACGACGTACAAATAAAACAATTAACACAAAAACAAAAGAAACAAATTGTCGATATAAGAGTACTTGCAGTTACTGAAAGCTAGTTTAAAGGCAATAAATGATAAAATAATTTCACACAGACTAAAGTTTTTAACAACATTTGATATACATGAGATCAAAAGTTTTGGAAACAAAATACAGAAAACGTTTCAGAGTTTCAAAACAAAACGATCCTTAATCTAACATCCAAAACAGTCTGAAGCTAACATTACCAGGAGGAGGTAGTTGAAACTTCTGTTTTAAGGTGGTACCCAACACCTTGACTAATATTAATTTGGCTCGTTTAATTTTCATAAAATTTTGACAAAATGTTTACTTTGACCCTTTGACAAAAATATAAAAATTTCAAAACATTTGAACCAACCACTTTATCAGAAAAATTTCATTGGTTATATAGCAGTTTGACAAACACTAATTTTGATCATTGAGAAGCTTGATATTTCCTTAACAATACAACGTAATTAAAACGTTTAGCTGATTTTTACAGAGTTATCTCCCTGTAGTGTTAGGTACCACTTTAATATAAATACATTATTTGTAAACTAAAGTTTTCTGTTTAGATGTGTTTTGTTATTCAAGAACTGGCATTGGGTGGATGGTCACTTTTGATTGTGACATTTAACCTTAAGGGGAACCGTTAGAGTTGTAGTTCATAGAAAATATAAAAGACGAATCAAAACTAGAATTCATGGCAACACATTAAAAGATATATTAAACATACAGGAAAACACGAGGAGCCATTCAGATCAACAGAAAATACAACGTTTGGACAATACAAACTGAACATGCTTGCAACTGATTTAAACAAGAAAAGATCTAATTTTTCGGTATTATCATGGACTCAAAATTACTAACAATAGAAACGTGTGGATTGTTTTGTACACTTCAATAACCATGCAACAAAATAAAACAAGTTTACCATGAAATAATCACATTTTCATCACGATGTATATACACTTCATATATCTGCCTCGGCATAAAAGAACTCATAAAGGGATAAAAGAATGGACTTACTTTACACAAAAAGTCAATTTAAATGTATCACAATAATAATTATAATCATAATAATAATAATCACTATTATTTTGGAGTTATTGTGTTGTTTTTTATTTTCCTTTCGATTTTTTTTTTGCCTGTTTTTAATATTACTAGTATTATTAATGCTATTGTTGTTGTTTTTAAAGTTTGCCAGAAGGTCAGATACATTAACGAATCGTTTTGTCAACTGCGATAGGTTTTTTAGTAAGATGTGGGAAATATCAAGGGAAAACAAATTAAATCATTTTGTATATAAATCGTTTTCTTAATTATTTGAAAAGGATCTTAACTTGCATTTCGACACTTTATATTTTACTTTAAACACCCGTTAAACAACATTTATAATATGGATGAACATATTTGCAATTCAAATGAGGATTGTGATATGTAATTTTGAACTACTTTGTACAATTAAAAGATACATCATATATGGAAATACGAAGCATGTCTTTTTATGAGACAAACTTAAGCAAACACGTTATTTGATAAGTGAGAAGAACTGAAATTATATTCTTATTGCACATCATTTCAAGTTCTATCATTTGTACAGTTTCATCTATAGGTGAAATGAAAGCTTCCGTCAAGATATGGTTTTGTATGAACATTGGTATATTTACATCATTGTTTTACAATATAGCATAACGGATTTACTAGCACATCATTTATATTTTATTCAAGAATGCACCCATCTATAAACGACAAGAACGCCAAATGTACCGAACTAAAAAAGTAGCTTCCAAAATCAATAAGTCTATTTTTACAAAAAAAAACTGTGAAGCAGTATATGTACTTTGCTTAAAAAATGAGTCAATAAAATTGAGAATGGAAATGGGGAATGTGTCAAAGAGACCAAAGAGCAGAAAACAGCCGAAGGCCACTAATGGGTCTTCAACACAGCGAGAAAATCCCGCACCCGGAGTCGGGCAGCTGAAGCCCGTAAATAAAAATGTGTACTAGTTCAGTGAAAATGGACGTCATACTAAACTCCAAAACATATAAATGAACTAAAATTAAAAAACATACAAGACTAACAAAGGCCAGAGGATCCTGACTCGGGACAGGCGCAAAAATGCGGCGGGGTTAAACATGTTTTGTGAGATCTCAACACTCCCCCTATCAGTCTAGCCAATGTAGAATAAACAAAAACACAGCAATATGCACAGTAAAACTCAGTTTAAAAGAAGTCCGAGTCCGATGTCAGAATAGGTAACAAAAGAAACTAAGCAAAATGACAATGATACATAAATTAACAAAGGACTACTAGCAGTTACTGACATGCCAGCTCCAGACTTCAGTTAAACTGATTGAAAGATTATGACGTCATCATATGAAAATCAAGCACAATCCATCCTGTTAGGGGTTTAGTATCATACCATCATAAAATATATGAGAAGAACATAACCCGTATCATGCCAACAACTGGTTTTTAGAACAAATGTGTATATTTCCGATGAAAAGACCCTATGAGTGAATCAATATCAATACCAAAATATGCCATCTTCAATGACCTGACAACAGTTTCGTAACTATATCCCTTCTGAATAAGTCTGTTTAAAGGTTTGGTTAGCTTTTGAGGTGAATGCCGACATTTTTGTGCTTTGTTAGGAATATTACCATAAAAGATTGGATGTGAAATACCTGAACGTATAAGATGTCTGCATGTTGATTTATATTTACGAATGATGTCCTTGTACCGATGATAAAATTTGGGAAATGTTTTGACTAGTTTGTGATATCGAAAACCCTGGTGTAATAATTTTTCAGTAATACAAAGATTTCTGTCGTTAAAATCAAATACAGCATTACATACACGAGCGAATCGAACAAGTTGAGATATATAAACACCATAAGATGGCGACAAGGGAAAGTCACCATATAAAAATGGATAATTAACAATAGGAAATGAAAAATCATCTCTTTTATCATAAATTTTGGTTTTAAGCTTCCCGTTTAAGATATAGATATCAAGATCCAGGAAAGGGCAGTGTTCATTGTTAGAATTAGCTTTATTTAAAGTCAGTTCAGCAGGATAAATCTCTTTAGTGTACATATTGAACTCGTCATTATTGAGAGCCAATTTATTATATATCATCCAAATATCTAAAAGTGTTATTAAATTTTTGTATCAGATCAAGTTTGCTTATTTGCTACAAAAATATTGCCTATAACATCAATGTTACTTTTGTTAACTTCCCAGTAAAGATAACACTAGATATTACTAACTAATCAAATCATAGGACGGTTAACAAAAGGATGACTGAAAATCTTGTGTGACCTGAACAAAAATGCTTGCCTTATATTCACCTCAACTCTGGTGATAAAAGACAAAAGCAATTAATCTCATTTGCATAGATTGATATTCAAAACTACATCAATGTGATGACTGAACGGCAGTCGGATGATGAATGATCCATGTGATGACTGAACGGCAGTCGGATGATGAATGATCCATGTGATGACTGAACGGCAGTCGGATGATGATTGATCCATGTGATGACTGAACGGCAGTCGGATGATTATTGATCCATGTGATGACTGAACGGCAGTCGGATGATGATTGATCCATGTGATGACTGAATGGCAGTCGGATGATGATTGATACATGTGATGACTGAACTGCAGTCGGATGATGATTGATCCATGTGATGACTGAACCGCAGTCGGATGATGATTGATCCATGTGATGACTGAACCGCAGTCGGATGATGAATGATCCATACAAAGGATAACAGAAATTCAAAAAATAGCGGACACTGCAACAAACTCCTCCGACAAAATACACATACACACAATGACAAAAACGAACAACACGTGGTCCAGATAACCTTACTTGACACAGCCACCTAATGTATATGTGTGTAAAACAAGTGTATTGTGCGCAAATCTGCTTATGTATTAAAATTAAAAAAAAGCTTGCATAGGATTCAAGACGTATAAAAGCTTTTATAATGATTTGATAGAATAGCATCAGCAATGTGTTTAAAACCTAAAATATGTATCCTTAGAGACCAAACATACCATTTAAATCAATTGTAGTAGGTAGCCTACGGAAGCCCATAGGGGACCTAAAAAAATAATAGTATATCGTTATCTCAATATATATATCGTTCTTTTGATATAATTAAATCGTTATCTCGATATATTAAGATCGTCATCTCGATTTTTATATCGTTATACCGATATAATTATATCGTTATATCGATATAGTTAAATTCGTGGCTTCCGTAGTAGCCATCCATTAAAATCTTAAAATGTTAATTTTTTTATTTCGACGAGAGAATAAATATTAAAAGGACTATACATTTATAGATTATTTTATACAAAATGCAATAAATAGGAGTACTCACCATCATTCCGAAGAACATATCACAATTACCAACGCAAGTTCCTGGGCTGTCACTGTTGTACTGGCTAACAATGCTAGACGTATTCATCTGAGAACAACCTTAAAAAATCAGAGATATGATTGCAATTTTAGGCAAAGATAAGTAATACTTTTACTTATGATAAATTAAGACAAGATAAAAAAAAACCTTCTACGAGTTATCAAACATTTAATAGTAGATAATCTGTAATTTATCCTTATAACCTTATAATTGAGATTATCAAATTTAAATATAAATCAAACATGTATTGCAAAAAAGTATACAAACGTACCGAACTTCAAGGTAAATTCAAAAAGTGGGACGTCCATAAAAATTGACTAAATCATATGTATTCAATCAACGGAATGAGTGAAAAATAACTGTCATATTCCTGACTTGGAAAATGCATTTTCCGAAGAAAATGTTGGGTTACATGGTTTTATAGCCAGCTAAACCTCGCACTAGTATGACAGTTGTTTATAGTTCCGTTATATTGACAGAATTGGATGAGCAACCCAAACAGACATAATTATAGGTAAATGTAACAATAATTGCGATCCAACAGCCAAAATTGTGTAATCATACATACAAACTAACTTAAAAATTCGAACAAACATACAAATAAATCTGACAAAGACGCCAACAAAAACATTTTTGTATTGATTGTATATTGAAAAATACACGAATACAATTTTTTATGTAGTTGATAGTACCTACCGTATTAAGTAAAATATAAACAGAAGGGTAAACAAAAACCTGTACAGAAAATAAAGACTCACAAATTCAGCACCAAAAACCTGTAACTCAAAACCAGCTTGTATTATTTGTGTAGTAGACACTGAATATTTATCTATTAGGTCTTGGTACTTTCCGATGAACTTTTTGAGAAAAAGGACGAGACGTTTTTTGACAAAACCCTGGCTTATTAATTTTTGCTTATACACCGGTGACGTTTTACAAAGTCTGAGTAGCAACTGCAAGTTCTTGAATATCAAGTTGCGAAAGGTTTACTTCATATGTGGTTGAAGTTGGTTTGTTGCTGTTAACGTGAGGAAAATTAATAATTTCAAAATTGAAATCGTCTCGTTTGTCATAGATTCTGGTACTGAGATGACCGCTGGTTGTCAAATCGAGGTAAATGTGTGGAAATGAGGCGGAGGAGCTGTACCTGTGGTTTCTTTGATTTCTAGTTCAGGGGGATGTATTAATGGGACCCAATCAGAAAAGTTTGGACTGTTAACGGTAAGAACATCATCAATATATCTGTATTTGAAATTAAATGATCTTGCTTCTTTGATCTTCTTTTTTTTCACAAGTGTCTGAAGGAACTCGGACTCATGTGAAAAAAAGAAAAGGTCGAGCAGGAGAGATGCACAGGTGGTTCCCATAGGAATACCGACAACCTGCTGGAAAACAAATTAAACAAATATGTTGTCAATGAAAAACTCTAGCATACTTATATACTTTCTCACATGAATTGATAATTTTAAAAATGCATCTTCAAAACATCTACATACCCATTATCTGTATCCACGGTGTAAATTCATCGTATGTTCCAACCCAAAAGTTTGTATTTTGAGGAAATGAACAGTTATAAAGCTGTTGTTGAAAAGAACCATTAACTAAATCACCGCCTCGTTGTAAGCAATCATCTCTTGCAGCATCCCAGTTTAATTGAGTAGAATTATATCTATACACCAATATGCATGAATCTGTAGAAAAAGGTAAAGACAATGGTAATGATAGTTATTTCAGCATGTTTGTCTCTCAAAGGGTTAAAGTTTTAATCTGTATCGACTACATGAGTTGCTAGACTACAAAATCAAATCTGAAAGCAAAACGATTAGCTTGAACGTAAACTCTTTGAACCACGGACTGTAGTTTTCGGTTTTTTTTGGGGGGGTGGTGGCATATTTCTAGGGCTTTTTTTCCTAGACCAGGAATATTCGAATTATACGATTCCCCTTCATTTATCACCACGCTTACAAACAAGAAAACTATTTTGGAAAATATTTCAAATTTTATGCAGTAATCAATTAAAGAAACTGATGAACAATTTAAATATACGGAATTCAAATAGGAAAGCTATAATACTATCCCAAGCCCATTTGCTTAACTTGGTAAATACAATACAAACTAGTTCTTTTAAAGCATTCCTCTACTATCAATTTACTCGAATAGACTTTTGTCCGTTCCTTAACTTATGATAGGTGTCTTAGGGGTCAAAAGCAAATCCGATAAATGTTCATTTAAATGTGATTATAATATACTAAATGCAAAATGAAAAAAAAGGAATTAAAAAGAAGTTAAATGCACCACCCCTGTGAGAGTATTTGAGATATTGGTTCGTTATGGTTGAAAGTTGTCATCCAGATGTTAGATGTTGTATTTCTTTTGTCACGCAGTATTTTTAATTGAGATCATGCAAATAATAACTATAAACACAAAAAGAACTGAAAAGAACACGCGAACCAATGAAAGCTTGTTGTTTATGTCTATGCATATGTCATACAACAGGTTATTTGTTACTGCAACTATTTAAAGTCTATTGTTAGCTTTAGAAAGATTTTTAATGATGATAGATAGTTTGATAAATTTAAACTTCCTGGGAATCTTCAATTATTTACAAATTACTAATAATGTTGTTATTTCAGTTATATCTTATCAGTAATAAATCAACTAACTGCGATAGCACAAAAACAATATTGTTTATCATAATTATCCAAGATGCAAACAAATAATAACAATAAAAAATAATATCATTTTCATGTACCATTACAACATTACTGTAGCTTCATATGCAAAATCAAACAATTTTGTCGCACAATTACTACTCAGACAAAACTTGAATTGTTTAATCAGAAGTCATTTACTAATGCATTTGTTTTTGGTCATTCCAATACGTTTACACCGTCAATTCGTATGAACGCGCTAAGTTTTTTGATTTTTGCATTCTGTACGTATGATCACGTGAATTAAGCTGCAACCTTCGGAAATTTCCTTTTTAATGATATAGTATAGTGTTATTTTTTTACCTGCTATTGGCGTCTCTACTGATCAATCAATTGAAAATGTGTGATTTGTTTTGGTTTAACTAAGTTCAAAAAATAATCGTCTTCATTTCGTTATAGACAATGATATAATATACCATATAATTTTAAAACCATTGTTTTAAGAACAATAGTCATAAAATTATAGTATACTTTTATACTCGTTGTTTATGATCTTTCTTTTTTTCTATTTATCCCTTTTTATTTCTTTCCATCGACTGAAGCTAGAAGGTAATACATTCATGTAAGTCAGACTCAAGGACGAAGTAATAAACTGTGATATATGCAATTATTAAATGTTCTAGAAATTGTAGCAAGCCAATCTGGGAGCTAAAAGGCAATGAAATATACGTGAAACATACGTTTGAGTGAAAGTGACAAAAGGGAGGTACAATAAAGTTAAGCTTTGAGTAAAAAAAATGTGTCGCAGTGCTTAAAACTTGAATGATAAAGGTTCTTCTTCCGAATTTTACTATATAGTATGTGAGGTTTTGTAATTCACTTTTGAAAATTCCTAAAACTTAGCCCAAGTAAATGTAGAAATGACAAATCGTTGTACCTTGTGGGACGATTCACCAGTCAACCTTTTTCATAATAAGCATGTTTTCACAAATTGAAAAAAAAAAAATCATAAAAGATTTTCGAATTCTCTACATGATAAGACAAATCTGCTAAAAGTTCCTCTGATATTTTTAAGGACTATCATGTCTTTATTGAAGAATTAATACATTTTATTGGATCTTATTTTTTTATTTTTACGCATGAATGAAAGGAAATTTTGGTTATACGTATAATGAGACAGCAACCCAAAGTCAAAATGACCACAAGACATCATGAGCCTAAGACAATAGACAAGTTTCAAGCTTTAAATCGTCATAATTCTATTAAAGTTTAGAATAGATTAAACAGAAATGATCAAACTCTGTCATCAACATAAAACTACCCAAATAATAATAAAAAAGAACATCAAAATATGAAATAAGGACACTACTGGTTGAGGTTCCTGATTATGGACTGACATAAATATGTGTCGGAGTTAAGGACTTTTATTTTTATCTTGACCCTACTGCTTTTTATCTTGATCAGTGCATTAAAAAAAATACACAAAAGAACCTACAAAAAAATCTGAAATAACGATATAATAGTCAACAACAAAAAATGACAAACAAAAAATTAATGATAAACTATCTTATGCCGTATGTTTACTCGTCACAATAACTGGAAGTAAGCGCAAAGTACTTAAGCTGATGATAAGTAAATGCCTTTCAGTACCTTGATATCGGTTGCTGAACTTCATAGAAGATTTCCTTTGTCATAAACACCAGCAACTTTATTAAAAGTACAAGAATGAAAACATGATCTGGAGCAATGTCCATCTAAAATGTTAAGAAAAACAAAAACAAAAAATATTTTTGTATTGTTCAAAAAATGAAAACAACACGTTATAAATTTCATGCGCCCGAAGCGCTTTTTTGAATTTACCTTCACAAGGAACACTCGCAGCCGAATATTTGAAAGCCAAGGTTGTATAAGAACCGAAACAGTCGAAGAGCTATATGACCAAAAAAGAAATAAATTGATGAATAAATGTCCACCCAAAAATTAAAGAAGCATCGATTGAATACCAACAAATAAACTGCCTTTTATCAATAAGGCTGTAAAGTCAAAGAGAAAATTTTCAGGGAAATACCTTAATTTTGTAAGCTTTATGAACAATATTGCTGTAAAAAAACGGATACAAATTACCACTTTTAATAAATATCTAGCGTGACTTCTTTCTTCATTGTATTTGCACTGATAGCATTCGTATAAAACGAAAAAAATATTCTTCGATAAAATTTCATTTAAGTTTTTTAAATGATTTAATCGCAATGAACATGAATGTTAAAAACAAATGTTTAAAAAAAGAATGTTGTACACACCTCTATAATTTTAGTTCGTTTAATCAACAATGAAAAGAAATTATCAAATTAATTTTTTTGCACTTAATAACCCAACTGCTTCAATGCGTGCTAGTTTCTTATCTTAAATTTTGTTTCGCTTTGTTCATTATATAATGTTGTCCCGATGTATAGTCATCTTGTTTCACTCCTACCTTGATAATATCATATTCCGTTTCGTACCTCACCCATTAATTGTCTTAAAATCCATTTATTAATAAATTGAATTTATATTATCATGATTTTTCATCCATTCATATAATTTGTTAATTTTTAAGTACTCACAGTTTTCAAAGAAGAAAAATACGACAATGATAAAACACAGCTTGCAATTCATTCTTCCTATGCAAATATAACTATTTTGTATATAAAACTTTATTTAACACGGAAGTTTTAACACTTCAATTGCTTTAGGAGTATCAAATTTCAATATATATTGTGTACCCGTTAAATGTCTTTCAGCTAAAAAATGTATCACATAATGGATGCATGGGTGGTTTTCCAAATGAACTTAAAAACAGTACTTCATTTATTATATATTGGCATTTCATAGTACACACAAAGGATAACAGTAATAAGCGACAATACCTTATTTCTCCAGGTGCATAGGCACCGAACCCGCAACTTTCGCAAATGAAAAAGGAAAAGAATTTCTAGATATAATGCACAGAAACAATGGGAACGAAGCCTTCTATTGTATCGACACGGACGTTATTGAAACAACATTTGCAAAAAGGCAGCTTGGAACACTTTAACGGATCCACCTAAATTGTGAACGAATTTCAAAGTATACCATACTAATATTTTCCGTATAATTTTAACAATTTTTCGGGAAAATAGTGTATATACCACGCAAGAATCAATATGTCCATGCTTCCGGACTTACCATACACCTTCGGATATTTGCCTAATGCTGGTGACTGATTTGTAAGTAATCAAGTAACAAAGTCTTCCTCTGTCCCATTAAGAAAGACTAGTAAATGGTTAGCTTAAATTTTGATATTACGAAAAAAATTTCACAAAATGTTATACACGTTACTTATACATAAATACTGGACCTCATTTTGGTTGTTATTGAACGACCATCGATTACGATAAACGTCAAAACTACTAACGAGTCATATGGCTGATGGCAAATGCAAAATATTAAAAGAAACTTCACGTTAAGAAACTAAGTATATCCAATCCATCTGTACATCATTTCACTCAGTGCAAATGTTATTGTTTAGTTTTATATTTATGGAGGTTGTTGAGAGTGTGGTATGTATTGCTAAAGGTTATCTTATTGAAGTACATATATTTTACGGTCTTAAATTTCAATTTGATTTGAATGATTCAAATTGGTCAAACAAAATAGATGAAATTACTCATTGTATGAACAAAATTAGCTTAGAGGTCAAAATAAAAATTCGTGTGCAAAAACTGTTTAAAAGAAGATTACAGAATTCAACAAAATGTTATTTGAAGACAACTCAGCCACAATATTCCGGTATAACTGTTTGAACAAACAAATATTTAGAAATGTCCACATATGAGGCAAGTGGGTAGCCTTAATACTGAAACCACTGTGGTGTGTATATTAAGAAAATCATTTTGGGAGTATGCAGTATACACTTTGATGTATGTAGAAATAGACAACTTGTTATCAATACAACAAACTTCTTTTCATCACGCTAAATTGCAGTCGATGAAAAAAATCACCTGGTTTTATTCGCTCCAATAACAACCCAAACTCACTTCTAATAAGTCCAGGGGCCTCGGTGGCCGAGTGGTCTAAGTAGTTACTACTGTAATCACTAGCCAGTCAACACTGAGGTTGTGAGTTCGAACCCCGCTCGTGCGGGTGCACTCGACTCCAATCTTAATTGACTAGGATTGTCAATTTTCCTATCGAAGGTCGGTGGTTTTCTCCGGGCACTCTGGCTTCCTCCACCCATAAAAACTGGCCGCCACGAAATAGCCCAAAAGCGGTGCTTAAAAGTGGCGTTTAAACACCAAAAATCAAAATCAAATCAAATCTAATAAGTCCTTGAATGAAGTATACTGCAATATTGTTCGCAATGCCAATTTGACTCTGAATCTGTTGAATTTAACTATCTCTTAGTGATATTAGGAGTCAAACATTCTTATATCATATGTGTAAAACTTGGAGTTAACAATTCTTATTCCATGTGTAATATTTGGGGTCCATTGTTATCATTGCACGTGTAATATTTGAAGTCAAAAAGGATTATTCCATTTCAATTGTATAATCATCCATTCTCATTCCAATTGAAATATTACGGCTCAACCATTTTATGTGTACATTAAGGCTCGACCAGATTTGTTTTGTTTGTATAAGTGGGTTGCAAAAAGTTAAATTATAAATTTAATATTTGGAGTCAATAATTCAAACCAATTTCAAGTGCAGTATTAGGCATGAACCTTGCTTATTCCATGTGATGTATTAAAAGAGCCAACACTTCTTTTTACTGTTTTATATATTTGGACTCAGTAATTCTATTTCAATATATACTATTATGACTCAACAACTCTATGTGTGATATCAGCAGTCAGTAAAATTCATTCAATGTGAAATATTCAGAGTAATAAATTATAATTACATGTGAGGAAGAAACATAATTATTCATATATGTAATAAACAAAAACAAAATTATTTTAAAAGTATGATGATATAAATAGTTGTAGTCATGTTGCTGCTATATCCTGAGCATTAGTTAGAATATCTGTGTTCACTATGATTTTATTAGAACCACTTTGTTTAAAACCTTTCGACCTATCCTCATCAGCTGGAACTGGAATATCTATTGTCATATCTAGGTCAGTTCTACCGTAAGATTCAGAGAAAGCAAACATAAATAACAGTCCAACAGCTATACTGCATAGCAGTGTCCAGTTCATCTATGATGTTCCTGTCAATTAAGATAATATATCAGATATCAAAAGACTATCAATTGGAAATAATTTTAGATACAGGAATATATCTTCCTAATGAGAAGCTTTGATTTTGTTTCCCGGATTTAGCTATACTTTAGGTTATTTTTGTTTGATTAGCTCTTCAACGATTGTATAAGTTTTAGTTTGTCAAATATTTTAGCGTCGAGCATCACTGAAGAGAAATTTATTGTCGAAATGTCCATTTTATGTAGTCAAATTGGTACCGTTAGTGCTTTTATTAAGATATATGGTTGTCCGAAATTATGTGCTTCTTTTTAATGGAGCCAATGTCAATTGTAACATATGTTAATAGCTTATATATTTATAAAAGAGTTTAATGTTTCCTAAAGTCATATTCAAACTAGGATTGCATATTCCTCAATCAAAGTTGAACAGAAAAGATTTTGATAGTTCTGTAAAGCCTCAGGTTGTTTTATTGCACTTTAACGTTTTAATTTTGTTTTGTTATTTTGATATTTCATTTTGTTTGTTTAATTAAATCCTGGGCTCACGTGTACTCGAAAAATCTTGTCGCACGCACAAAAATGTAGTTTTCAAGAATTTTTCTTTCATCTTTCGTCGCTAGTGTAGTCCACAATTTTCTATCAACTTCGATACTTAAATAGGTAAATGTTCACTCTAGCGGGCAAAATTGACCCAAAACGGTTGTTGACTGTTTGTTTTTGACCGTTTTGCTACATATGCTTTTAAATTTTTTTGTATTTGCATATTTGACATTCCTAACTTTTATTTTTGACCTTATTGCTGATGCAGGTAATTCCGAGAAACGAAAAAAAGATTTTGACAGTTATGTGAAGCCTCAGGCTGTTCAAGTACTGTATATGACTACTAATTGAAAATAATTTACCTATATTTGGAATTTGTAGTGCTAACAAAAATATAACACCAAATATATTATTAAGCACAGTAAGAAAAGCACCAGTTATTCCGTCTGCTATGGGATACGATACTTCACAAGACAGTTCGAAAAATAATGGTACGCCTCCATTAAGAAATATACAACCAATGATACATGATATATATATCTGAACTGAAAAATAGAAGTGAGGGTGTATTAAAATTGTTTTAATCCGAATAAACAAAATAAAAGAGAAACCGTAAGTCATTGATAAGAAGCAGTCCTTTTTTTAGGTCACCTGGCCCCAAGGGCCAAGTGAGCTTTTCTCATCACTTGGCGTCCGCCGTCCGTCGTCCGTCGTGGTCGTCTTTTACTTTTTACATTTTGAACTTCTCCTAGAGAACCACTGAATGGAATGAAACCAAACATGGCATGAATGTTCCTTATGAGGTGCTGACCAAATGTTGTTACTTTGTAGCCGATCCATCATCCAAAATGGCCGCCAGCGGGGGACTTCGTTTAACATAGGACCCTATGGACAATACATACACATGTCTTCTCTAAGAGAACCAAAAATGGAATGAAACCAAACATGGCATGAATGTTCCTTATGAGGTGTTGACCTAGTGTTGTTACTTTGTAGCCGATCCATCATCCAAGATGGCAGCCAGCAGGGGACTTCGTTTAACAAAGGACTCTATGGACAATACATACAAATGTCTTCTTTTAGAGAAACACTGAATGGAATGAAATCAAACATGGCATGAGTGCTCCTTATGAGATGCTGACATAGTGTTGTTACTTTGAAGCCGATCCATCATCCAAGATGGCCGACAGAGAGGGACTTAGTTTAACATAGGACCCTATGGGAAATACATACAAATGTCTTCTTTTATTGAACCACTGAATTGAATGAAACCAAACATGGCATGAATGTTCCTTATGAAGTGCTGATCAAGTGTTGTAACTTTGTAGGGGATCCATCATCCAAGATGGCCGCCAGTTGGGGACTTTGTTTAACATAGGACCCTATGCACAATACATACAAATGTCTTCTTTTAGAGAAGCACTGAATGCAATGAAACCAAACATGGCATGGATGTTCCTAATGAGATGCTGACCAATTGTTGTTACTTTGTAGCAAATCCATCAACCAAGATGGCTGCTAAAGGGGGATTTAGTTTAACAAAGGACTCTATGGGAAATATATACAAATGTCTTCTTCTAGAAAAACGCTTAATGGATTGAAACCAAACATGGTTTGAATGTTTCTTTTGAGGTGCTGACCAAGTGTTGTTACTTTGTAGCTGATTTGTCATATAAGATGGCTGCCAGCACGGGGAGTAAGTTTAACATAGGACCCTATGGAAAATACATACAAATGTTTTCTTCTACAGAACCACTGAAAAGAATGAAACCAAACATGGCATGAATGTTCTTAATGAGGTGCTGACCAAGTGTTGTTACTTTGTAGCCGAACCATCATCCAAGATGGTCGCCAGCAGGGGACTTAGTTTAACATAAGACCCTATGGGAAATACATACAAATGCTTCTTCTAGAGGAGCACTGAATGGAATGAAACCAAACATGGCATA